TCCTCCCCATCCAGACCCTCACGGCCTCCAGACACCGGGTCATCACGTCAAGGGCATCGTTGGGGTGGCCCGGGGTGGATATGTACAGCTGAGTGTCATCAGCGTACTGATGGAAATCCACCCCAAAGCCACGAATGATCTCCCCCAGCGGCTTCACATAAATATTGAACAGAAGCGGAGAGAGGACCGACCCCTGTGGAACCCCACAGGTTAGGGGCCTTGGGGTCGACCTCTGTCCCCCTGCCAATACAGACTGCGTACGGTCGGTGAGGAAGGAGGAGAACCACCGCATCACAGTGCCTCCCACTAGATTTAATCTAGCAAGGATGACATAGGATGTTGTAGAGTTGAAACTCAGAGAAAAAGCCTTTAGATCATAAAAGTGCCTTGCTTCAGCTTGAGTGTGTAGATAAAACTAAAATAACCATGAGCATAGTTATTTACAATTGCTGGAATTGTATTAAACTTTGAATTAACTTTTGACAGCACTCATAGATGTCCACAGCTAACCCTAGTGATATTAAAAATGACAGGCACAGATGACATTATAACTCAGACCCACCATATATAATTGCATCCTGATATTCATACAAAATATGTTATACACAGACCTTGCATTGGGTCTTTATGATCAATATTTTGCCACCTGTCTATACATGTCTGTATCAGTACTAAAACGATCATTTTTGATTGCCTGATCCTTGAAAAGTAAGTTCAGCTTTCTAACTTTTGTCTTTTCCAGGGAATCTATTTTCATCACTAGAAACAAGAGAGACAGCCAAATTGGTCTAGCATTGGCTTAGAAATCAGGAGACAGTGAGTTCTAGTCCCACCTTAGGCATGAAAGCTGGGTGGGTAGCTTTGGATCAGTCACTCTCTCTCAGCTCAAACCACTTCACAAAGTTGTTGTTGTAGGGAAAATAGGAGGTGGAAGGACTATTAGATATATTTGCTGCTTTGAGTTATGTATAAAAATAATAAAGGCAGGACATGAAACAAAAGAAATGGACACAAGGCTAACACGGTTGTCAGGCTAGTAGCTCTTAGAACAGCAGGATACCATCCTAGGAGAACTTTTACAGCCCATTTCCAGTCTATGTGGAGTAAATTATGCAAGATGCAATATTGGAGCAGGAACAGCAAAACAATTCCCAAGTACAATGACAGAAATTCCTGGTAAGGATAACATGAGGAAACACATGTAATCTTCAGTTATGCTATTCTGTATATATTTTAAAGGATATATGCAGAAGCTCACAAAATTGCAGTTCAGAGTGCAATGCAAGGTACTTTTTGCCCATCTGGGAAAAAAAGCACCTGTATCTTCTGTAAGGAAGCAAGATAGCTCAGAGAACCTTGTATCGTTAAGAAAAGCAGATGAGCAATTATGGTAATTATTGAATTAGTTATATAATGTATGTTTATAATTGTATTGGTATTGTTTAAAATTAATAAAACTTTTAAAATAAAAAAAAGAAAAAGGTACAGATTTGCTTCAAGTGGGAAGTAAAACTATTGCATATCGTTGTTAGAGAAACATTTTATTTTGTTGTTCCAGCTTTCCAAAACAATATATAACTTGCTGTAGTATATGTACATTGGCCCAAATAAAGGAATTTTTTTCTTTTGAAAAAAAGAAAAGAAAAGCAGCCTATTAGTATGCCAATGTATATTGTCTTCATTTTTCCTTTGACAAATTCTGATCTGGATTGTTTGATCCATTGTAATTGTATTTCCTTTCACACTTGGTAGTTTGGGTATGGAGATTTTTTTAGAATTTGTTATATAGTGCTTTTTTAAAGAGTGTTTTTGGAGATTACAAGTTGGCACATAGTATTCATTTCATGGGCTTCTGCCATTCCAAATCCTTTGGAATATCTACTACAAGTTAATTTAAGATTACCTTTGGACTAAGAAGAAAGTAACTTGCTCAAAATCCCTTGAATAGTGGCCTGCTGTAAGTATAAATAGGTTTCTTTCTAATTTTTTTATTGGAAAAAATAGCTGAGAGTAGTTGCTCTTCTAATTATGCTTTAAAATACAATATAGCTATAATATAAAGAAAGGTATTGATCCCTTACATCACATATATTCTCCAACTTCAAGACTGTCGATGACTGTTAACTTTGACATAGAATGCCATTAACCTTGATGATATTTTCAGCTTACAAAAGCATTAAAATATTCAGTTCTTTAGTAGAACCAACAAATAAAAAACGATCTCTATCTGCTCTTAAAAGAAAGGACACTCCTTTTGTCACTTTTAAGAGGATAATGATTAACACACTGTTCACTCTAATCATGTATGCCATCTTTAGAAACACCAGTTTGTCACATAATTTCTTCATCAAAATGTGTAAACTGCACTTAAGAGATAGGTGTTAATGCTTTCTAACCAGTTTATAATTTGATCTGTTTAAACATTCAGTTCTTGTTGCCATGCCTGGGAAGCCAATTTGACGATACAACTAAAAACTATAATATTCATTTGTGACAGCTCCCCAGCTTACAAGGCTTAGAATTATTTCAATAATTTAGAACTTTTAAAACTGTTAATAATGGGAAAGTGGTATGTCTTACATATGGAGGGGTTGTTCTAGCCTGGACTGCTTATTGCACAGCAGGTTTCCTTTTAATTGCAGATTACTGCAGACAAGACCAGTTCAGGTTTCTGTGTTGGGAGAAGGGGAAGGAGAAATTGTTCAGCTACAGCTCCTTCCCTTTCCAGTGCCCAGTGCTGCTTCTCATGAAACTCTGGAGAATCAGCAATATTATTCTAGAACAAATCCTGATAAAGAACATGTCACCAGGTTAAAACAAGTTCCATTCCTAAATTTGCCCTTAAGTTGAATTTGTATGCAAAATGGAACAGGTTATTTAGTTATGTGTTTGTCTATGACTATGAACTGCTGAAAACAGGTTTAGTGTTGCCAGATGCCCCAAATTTGTATAGCCCAGCATGCCCTTAAAGGTACCCCCCCAAAACTCCCAAAAGTCAAAAAAATTCCCCACAGCTGATCTCCAAATGTCCTAATTTCCAATCTCCAGCACTCACTTGGCTTATCAGAGCACACACACACACAGAGATGCAAGCAGAAACACATGCAGGGTGTGAGCTGAAGAAGAGGGCTTGGAAATGCAGCAGTGGAACAGTAGATGGGGCTGTATTGCACAGACATACACCAGACAGAAACACCACTAGGACACACACACACACACACCTGCCTGCAACACAAGGATACTCTTTGCTGGCCTACACCTGCCTTTCTTTTTTTGAGATGGATCTCTTTGCCAGTTGGCCCTCCACCAGTCTGAATACTGCAGGCAACCTATTCATAACTAGGGGTTGTTTTTAAGACGGAGGTTCATAATCTGGAGACTTCCTATATTTATATGAGCAAATTGTAAATTGGCCTCCCTTACTTTGATGCTAACCGATCAATACCAACGTGAATCTTAGTTGTCTATGGAAGAAAATTTGGGTTTTGTCGTTCTCCTAACATCCCATTTTTTTTCAATAATATAAAAAAATACTAGAACAGCATCAACAAAAACAACCCCGAATCCAGACCTGCTTTTTCCTGGATGTCATTCATAGCAAAAAAAAGAGAGCATCTTTCATTATTTGTGTCTGAATGCTTGTTTGTTTTTGCAGGCACTCTTGGATAACAACTATTCATTCAGAGGCCGTTTAAAGTTACGATGGTGCTGAACGTGGAGGCTTATCTACAGCCCTTGAAGTTGTGGCCATCGCAACATCATGTAATCTTGATTTGGATGATTGGCACAACAGGCTTGCAATTACAATGGTTGCAGTGTCCTGCAGTCACATGATCACCATTTGCGGCTTTCACTGCCACCTTCTGACAAGCAAAGCAGAAGCTGGCAGGAGATTGCACATGGTGGAGATATGACATCCTACCTAACTACCGCAACCAGAACCATTAGAACTGTCATCATAAGTTGGTGTGGACACATAATGTCATACTTTACGACCATGTCTCTTAGAAACAGAATTCCTAGTCCCAATTATGATAGCTAATACCTGAGGACTACCTGAAATCAATTATTAGTACTTTCCATAAAACCATTTAGGGGCTTTTTAAAACATTCAGAACAGATTGTCTTTGTAGGTGTCTTATATAGGGAAAACAATCAGAGACATATATATATAAATTCATACAGAACCACATAAATATTTAATAATTAATGGTGAACTATTAAATGCCATGTTTTACATCACCTTCACTTTTCTTAAATATTTCTGTAAAAAAACTACTCTGGACTGGCTAGATTAGAGCCGATCATATCATGCAAAATATCCATCTGAAAAACAAATAAATATATACGTAAGTATAAAACAAAAATATTGAAAGGCATTTTAAATAAATTAGGAAGAGTCTATGTCTGAGAAATCTTAAAGAAAATTAGTATTTAATACTATAAATGAGAATATCCAATATTTATGGTATATATTAATATTTCTCTATTTCTGTTCTATCCAAAACCACCTTTTGATTGCCAACAATAAGCCCAAATATAAACATTACTGTCTTATCACAAAACAATTTAGTTAAAATTTATCATAAACCACATACTTATAAGGCCACTTCAAATGTTACACAGGTATTTCAATTATACCAACATTCAGAGCCAGCGCTAATACTTTTAGGCCAGACATGTCAAACACAAGGCCCGGGGACCAGTTGCGGCCCGCAAAGTGGTTTCATGTGGCCCGCGAAGCCATCCTGGAAACAGTGAGGAAACGGCCCCCATTGCCTTGGCCCTGGCCCAGGCCAGCCAGCTGGGAGCCAATGTACAATTTTGTGGTGACCATCTATGCTGAAACGCATTCAATCTCCCTTTGACTTTGCCCTGGTACCCATCATGAACAACCTGGCTAAAGAGAGCAAGCACAGCAGCAGCAGCAGTCGTGAAGAGGAGGTAAGTGCAGCTGAGCGCCCCCTTGGCGCCCCCTTGGTACTACAGGTGCTCGAGGGCCAGGGTGGGCATTTGACCTCCGCTGCCCAGGGCTCCGGGCAGCCCGCACCACCATCCAGCCCCCCCATGGCCTGAGAGGAACAGTGAGGCTCCTCCAGTGGACCATGCCTTGGCACTTGCCCTGGTCCCACCCCCTTCTGCCAGAGACCCTCAGATCTGTCCCACTCCTGCCCAGGCCCCCATAGGCACCCTTGACGCGAATGATGTAGAGCTGGCCACGCCCACCCAGTAGGCCACACCTACTCCCTCCACGCCCACCCAGTAGGCCACACCCAGCCTGGCCACACCCACCCGGCCCCCCAAGGGCAACTGCAATGCTGATGCGGCCCTCAATGAAATTGAGTTTGATACCCCTGTTTTAGGCTATAATTCCATACATAGTGCGTAAACCTTTTTTTTTCATATTCCCCATTTTGTAAACACGGTGAAAATGATGAACTTGGATCTTCTGTTTACAATGCATCACAGCTGTCAATCCCAGGCTAAAACAGCTGAATCTCATTATCTTGCGAATCACTTTCTGCCAATTGATTAACTGACTGATTTTCTTTCGAGACAATATTACTGAGCTCAAGCAACCACACTCATCATTAGATGATCCTAGTATTGGTGCTTTAATAACTGTATATTAATAATTGTCTTCAATTTCTAGGCAGAAACAAGGCCTTAAGAAAACACCTGTTCTGCAGTTTCATTCCACTGCCTTAGCATCCACAGCAAATATAGTCCTGTCTGAATGATGATGCAGTTATAGGCCAATATTACAACCACAAGCTCAGCAGATTCAAAATAATAAATTGCTACCAAGGAACAGGAGGTTCAGTTGCTTGCATCAGGTGCAGGCATGCTAGCTTTTCATGCAGCAAAACATACCTTCTTTCTGTCCGAGACGGTCATATTTCTCAGTGCATAAACAGTGACTAGTCCATCACTGTCCCCAATCAGAAGGCAATCTGCATTTTTAGCAAAAAGTACAGTTGTGAATTTCAAATTGCCAGTAGCAGGATTCACAATCAGGGGATCCAGCCTATAAACAGCAAAAGATGTGCAGTTGAAACTGGAGAGTTGTTTGGAATATTCTACTGCAAGGCATTATTTACCCATCTATTGTTTAATATAAGCTATTTATTTTTTTCTAAAAATATTTCCCATGCGTTATTTTAATTATGTTACGTTTTATCTACTTTTCAGACAACTGTCTTACAAAATAGCTTACTCTCCAGGAAGAGAGGCATACAAGGGAAGGGGGGATGCAGAAAAAAAGATCAGTACTTCAAGGTCAGGAATATGAATAATGTGCTGGATAAATGTATTAATATGCTGGCGACGCAGTTGGTGTAGTCCAAGGGTAGGCAACGTTGGCTCTTTTATGACTCGTGGACTTCAACTCCCAGAATTCCTGAGCCAGCGTGGCTCAGCTTGGAAACCTCTCCCTTTCCCCTCAGCATGGCTGGCTCAGGAATTCTGGGAGTTGAAGTCCACGAGCCATAAAAGAGCCAAGGTTGCCTACCCCTGGTGTAGTCCAATTGTAGCCATGGGACAATAGAAATACAGTGTATGATCTTTATTCTGTTTAGTGTTGGTCAGAAAACATTTTTAAGAAATGCTGCTACTTACGTGCTCACACTTAGATCCCAGATTTCTACCCTGGTTTCATTCACTGCTGCGAACACGTAGGCAGAACTCGGAGACCACATGATATCATAAATAACATTGGTAGTGGAAGTAAAGATTAAAACTGGGCGAACTGAATCCTGGCGCCACAGCATGATAGTCCAGTCTGCAGAACAACTTAGAAACACTTCTGTGCTGAAAGGATTCCATGTGATCTTATACACAGGGCCCTTAAGAAGAAGCGAGAAAAATACAGCAATTTAAATGCAAAGTTAGTAAGATTTTGAAATAATTTTATCTGGATATATTCATGAATATGGGCAGCAAAGATCAAGAAGGGTATAGCAATATTTAGGCAAAAGTATACTGCTCCTCTTGAAGCTTAAAAAGATCTTAGAAGATAATTGAATTCTGAACAATAATATGCTGAATGACACACTTTTAACCAGCTTAACTATACTGATTACAATCCAGAGGAAATGCTGAATAAAGACATAATTGAATTCTTTTATATTCTGAGTCCTCATGATACTCTACAACTTCCAGAAGGCTTTGCAAAGGAAGCAGATTAACTTTTGGTTCAGTTGCTGCAGAGTGAGTTTTCTAGTGCTCCCTTGGAAGTGGTGGACTGACCAATTTTTCCTTAATGGGAACATCCATTCTGTCCCTCCTTGTAGTTCTAAGATTTACATAAACATCCTTGAACCCAATGCAGCCTAAACATGCCTACAGACGGGTACCAAGAAAAAAAAGGGGAGACAATAGTTCCTTCCCACCAGTGGAGGAGGGCAGGGGGGCAACAGTCCCTAACCTCTTCAAAACTGGAGCACTGTAAACAGAAAACAACAGCTTTGCTCTGGCTTCAGGTAAACCGATGCAGAGTCAGAAAAAAAGTAGAGCCAAACTTGCCAAACTAGCCCACAGCACGAGTCTGGAAGTCTGGATTGGCTTGTGAACTGCTGTAAAGACCTCAAATTGAGATATTTTAACAGAGAAAGAGAGAGGGAGTTAAAAAAAAAAAAAGAGCAGTGTGGTTTATTTGATCAGGTTTGTTTAATTTTTCTTACCTTGTGTCCTCTGTAGGTCTCCAGGTACTGCTCATTATAAGAACAAGAACATTTATGAATATAACCTTCTTCAGTTCCTGCCATGTAGATGTTAGTATCCTGAAACAAAACCAAATTACTATGGGCCCTTTTCTTTTATTCAACTTGGATGCCTTTGCGGGAAGGTTGTTTTTCTCCTTTCTAGATAACATTTGAAATTATTAAATTCTAATATAGAGGAATTTTCTAATGTATAAATCAATGAGCTGACCAACCGCATAATCAGATGTTTTACTAGAACAATATAGAACAACCAACCATATTTACAAAGGCAAAAAGGGTGGATGTCAGAAGATAGCAGAGGGTGGGGAGGGACACATCAACATTTCCAGCATTCTTCTGGACATCAGGGCAGCGTAACAAAATTGCACAATGAGTAGCTTTCCACTTTGAATGCCAACAGCTTAATCTCCTCTGATTTTGGGTACCACATTTTAAAACTGCTAACGAATACTAATGAAATATTCCCTTTTAGCCTCAGACTTAGTCATCCATGCCTTACTTTATTTCTCTCCCCAGAAAGAGATCCTCTTCTTTCATGAAATACTATTTTTTCACATACTGTATGTGTTATATTCCATGATGTATAAAGAGATTCGTATGTCTCGCAGTTTTCACTTCTTGAGAAGTTACCATATGTAAAGGGGGGGGGGGAAATCCTGCATGAAAATATACCTAGTTTAGGTATATGGATAAGTTTAAATTCCTGCTTTTCTTCTTTTACTTCTTCTCCTGAAATACGTTGAGCAGAATGTGGTGGTGATTAAAGGAGACACTGCACTCAATTTTCCCAAATGGATGACTACCCAAGATTTCTGGACTTTCCATCTGATATTAGGTAATAAATAGCCAAAGGTATTACCGCATTGGATAGAGCAGTGGTGGCTCTATCTATAACAGTGGTGGCGAACCTATGGCACGGGTGCCAGAGGCGGCACTCAGAGCCCTCTCTGTGGGCACTCAGAGCGCCATCGCCCCAGTCGTAGGCCTTCAGCTGGGTTTTATAAAACCTTTTCGCTTTAGGCCTCCGCCGCCATGTGCAAAAAAAAAAAAAGGTTCAATCAGTCAATTTCAACTTCTTGCGAGGAAAAAAAATCTTGCAAAGTTGGAATTGATTGATTGAATTTTTTAGTCCCACCCAGTCTGCCGTTACCACCGCAGCCATGCCCAGCCAATGGGCCACGCCCAGCCAATGGGCCACGCCCAGCCAATGGGCCACACACACCCGGCACCCGACAATGCATAAGTGGGTTTTGGGTTGCAGTTTGGGCACTCGGTCTCTAAAAGGTTTGCCATCACAAAGCTCTGCCGTCTTTGAAAAGATGCCCATTTCTCTGCTTAGTTTGGAGATCTAAAAAGCTGTGCCACACTGCTCATTCCAAACAGTTGATAGGAACAAGCCATTCCTATCAGATGGTTCACTATTTGGGGCAATGTTTTTGCTATGACTTACATGAATACTGATGAAATATTTCAGGCCAGGGAGTATGAATTAAGTCAATTAAATACCTTTGGATGAAAATCAAAACATAGTCCTGGAGCCTGTCGAGATATAAGCGCTTCACTTTTTCTTTCTGTTCCTGCTTTTTTCTTTTCAGCTGTTGTTCGCTTTAGCTTCATTAGGTCTGTAATTTCAATAATTGCAAATATCAGCCTGATTATGAGGGCTGTTCAGACTCTTTGTCATATACAAAAGATGCAGGATTATTTGTCTGGAATAAAGGGGGAATGTCTTTTTAAAACGTACAAAAAATGATTGTGCCTCAGATGAACACAAAGGAGAGTTTAAGCTCCCCACCTACTATGCCACCCCAGTACAAAATCTCAAATCATGAGCACAATCTCATGCTTATACAATCATTGGGGGGGAGGAAGCAGTCATGTAATGCAACTGCTCTCTATGTATTTTAAGTTATACACAGTTCTAATACTACAGCATCCCTCCAGCATCCAGTCCCAACCTAACAAAATTATCCAACAATTTTCCCAACTTGATGTGATCTGAATGGGTTGGATTATGACTCTTCAAATTTTGAAGGGTCTTGGTCTAACATTTCTGGAAGGCACAGGTTGGGAAGACTGATCAGTACATATGTGGAAGCAGATTTCTGAATAGATACATTTAGCAGTTTTGTGATTAAAAAACATGCAAGAAGCAAGAATGATAATATTAGCATATTAATTCTTTTTAGATACCCGGATCTTGTCACTCAGTTATCAAGAAGAGAAGTGATAATGTAGATTCAGTGACATTAATGTCAGCTATTCTCCATGTGTTCAGCCTGATCAAATCTTTTATGTGAATAAAAACACTTTATTTTTAATTTCAGTTTTTATTTCACCAGCCTGCCTATAGCAAAAAGCTAAAGGTAAATGAAAGAATAATGCAGTACTTTATTTCATTTTTGCTAATGATATTCCTGAGGATATTTTTGCGTAAATGTGAAAAAAGTTTACATAGACATAAAGATCTGTAATTACAGACCTATTTTTTAAAAAACCCATTAAGATAATAAATCAAAAATAAAAATCAACACAAACCACAGTCTTAAAATGCAGCCCTCGAATTATTTCAGATATTTGTGTAATGTGAAAATATTTACCTGTGCAGCAATCAGGAAAGGCTTGTTTGGTAAATCAATAGGACGGTAGACGACTTTACCTCTGCTCCTAGAGGGGAAACAGAAGAGGTGAACAAGGGGACAGAACGAGGTGGGTAGAGTCGACGGTTTGTCCGGGATTTACAAATAGCACCCTAAGCGACTTTGTATAAAAGTATTTTTGTGTTGAGAACCCAAATATTTCGTGTTAGGTACAAAAGAAAAAAAAAACTACAGGGGGATAAGCTTACATAAGCAGACATATATGCAGCTTATGAAAATGCGTATCAACTTGTGACAGTTACCTGACACATAAGCCTAAAGTTGGCGTTCTATACACACCATCAATATATCTCTTACTGCAAAGAAATTAAAAGAAGATAACCTCTGATGGCGAACGTTTTTGGGGTTTAGACTAGATCCCAACATGTTTCCTTCCAAATACATTAGATCTATAACTTCAAAAATTTCCTGACATTGAAGAAAGCTTATTTAAACAGAAGGATGAGAAACTTAAAACAGTTTAGAAATTTCCTTAAAGATTTAGCCTTAAGACACTTGAAGAGAAGCATGTTTCCTACCCACCAGCAGCACATTTTAATTAAGTAAAATATACATATTTGAAAGAAAATAAGTCATTCTAACTATTTGTCTGGAAGTTGAAGGAGAACATCTCTCTTTGTAAACAGCATCAGGTGAAATGGTAGTATCTCTCTGGAAAGTTGTTTCTTTCAAAGAAAACTGGCACAATAATACTGGATTCTTAAAACTGCTTACCATTCAGAGAAACAGGAAGGATAAAATAATATCTGTCATTCCTCCAAATTTTCAAAGGAGCCACAACCGTACAGACAAGGGATTAAGTATTAAAATAAATATTACAAAATAAGGCCTTGGCACTGCTTATAAACCTGTAATTCCCCCCCCCCAAACAATTCATTATAACAATAAGAAGTTTGAGAAAGAGCTTAGAAGGCTTATGATATATACCTGTTGTCTAGAACTGAAGTTTGATTTCGGGACTGGACATTATAAACTTCTATTGTCCCATTGAACAGTCCAACTGCTAGGAGGTTTGGATTGGCTGTAGAGAAATCTAATGCAGTTACCCCATGAATACAGTTGTAGATACGTTCTGGCCACTGAACAGATTGTAAAAATAAAAAAGTTAAATAAAAGAACATCATTTTTTTAAAATTACTTTCACATTTTTAATTAAGTATATTCCTATTTGAAATATGTGTGTGTGTTAAATTATTGATAGCCACTGTCCCCAAAAATCCCTTCAGGACAGGATACAATGACAACTGTTTATTTTTTAGGCTAATTAGTATATAGCTATTAGATACAAAGCCATCACATCAATGCATAATGATACACACATTAGTAAAAACAATATAAGCCCTAGTAATTAATTTAAATAACATTTGTTTTGCATCTTAGAAGTTTACGTCCTAAAACGTAGATATTTTAATAATGTTAATAAACCATAATGCTTTTAAATAATTAATAAAATTAGGAAACAATTTCTAAACGATAATGGTAAGATCATACTTCTGAGATAATATGAATTGAATAAGATAGCTTATAAAACTGCCTGTCTTTCAAAAGACAGGCAGGCTGTCAATGAATCATCTGGATTTTACTAAAAGTTTTGTTATGGCTTCAGATATGCATTGGTCTGAGATTATAAATACACTACCTGATTTGATATTAAGCAAGCATAAAAATATATATTGCTACTAACTCATCGTTAGCGTTTACAATAAACATGCAACCAATTCAATTAAAATAAATTATAAAATTTACACACGTAATGGTATCCCAAAAAGTCACTGGTCGTCGTACGGTTCGGAAAGAAGACGAGAACTTTTGCTTTGACGGGTATTGGTTGTCGATTTTCTAGGATTCTCGGTTCTTTCACTTAATGATGGTCGGTTATGTCGTAATTTTAACGGTACTGAAAGTAAAACTCAAGTCATTTCGTTCGGTACAAATAATAGTGCTGTTCCCACAATGAGATGTCTTCCACATCCATAGAGACTACTCTACTCATTGCATTCTTCAACCTAAAAGGTATCAGGTTAAGTTGTCTTATTGGCACCAAGCAGCCTTGATATTGTCAGATTTCCCACTAATGCAATCACAATTCTTCAGACCCTTCATTCCTTTTTGAACAGTTGTCTGGATTTGACAGATTTCCAGACCCAACTCTGCATGCTTAGCATCTTCATTGCAGATAAGAATGAACATAACAGCTCTTCGCAGGAGGCAAAGAGATCAAAGAGAAAAATTCATTCTTCAGGGTTTAAACTTTAGGCATTTCTCCCTGCCCTTTCCATTTGAGGGCCACCTGATAACCTAGTTGGTTGAGATATGGTTACATGCTGCCCTTCTCTAGCGTAAGAACTGCTGCTTCCTGTTTTACCAGCCCTTATAAGTAAGGCCAGCGAAACAACTCAGTAATAACTCTGCTGCCTAGCGTAGGACAAAAATAATGTTACCAACACTGGCAAAATATATAAAAAAATATTTATATTTAGATATAAATATATAGATTTATCCAAGTTATTCTGACAATGAGTGGGGAAAAAATCTCAAATCTTTTTCTTGCTAATAATATAAGTACTAATAATCACACAATAATCACACAACCCATTACCCAGGTCGTTATAACACAAAAGATTAATGGGCACACAGCCAGCACATCAACTACTCAGGATCTTACGAAACAGCCGAACAATCCGCAAACATTAACTCCCACACAGCCAATCAACCCACCTACAGCAACTAAGCCAGCACTCCACACACCCCCACCAATATTTATAGAGAGACGGCAGCTCCGATCACACTTTGCTTGCACAAGCACGAAGCCAAAGACCTCAGCCTAAAGAGGACAAGTGGGACCTCGTCAAAACGTCGCCAAGATACCCTCAATCTTACACGGGAAAAAACCCGAATACGCCATACCTGTACCCGTGAAAATCTACGAAAACATATATATATATGCATACTGTATAAGTATAACTAGACAAGAATAAAAATACTAATACCCCAATGGCTGCTTGACCTCCTGATACACTAAGGGCAAGATTCAGGTTCTTATTTCCAAGACTGCTGGTTTTGAAAATTGCTATTATAGTCTGTATTTTGTTTCAGTGAGAGATGCTGTAGTTAGTTTTGATGATGGTGGAGAAACCTCTCCCAGTGAATAGTAGATATATTCTAATTACTGTCATAATTAAGGTCTGAATGCTGGTTTGTAATTAGGCCAGCTCTTCACAGGAAAAGGTTTATTGCCCGCCACCACCCAGACAAGCCATAATTCAGGGAAAATTTGATAAGTAAAAAATGATGCAGAGGGGGATTAAATTTAGGAAATATGAGGAAAAAAAGAGGAAAATAGGCTAATCAGCAAGCCTGAGAAACATATAGCTAGGAAGACCATAGAAGAAGTGAAGGTACGGGAAAAGAAGAGAAGGGTGTTAGATATTAGATAATGGAAAAAATATCGATAAATAGGGCTATGGAGAAACTCTGGAATTCAAGAGAACAAAGAAGGCAAAGCTTTATGGAAAGGTGGCAGAGAGACAGAAATAAAGAGTCAGGGCAGTTGATGTCAGAAAGCAATGTAAAGTAAGCAATAAATGGCAATACATTTTAAATCTCATTCAGAGCCAAAAATCCAGCCTGAATACCAGCTGTTCCATAAGCTGAGTCAAATAGGCTTAAGGACTCGAGATTCAAAGGCCAACAATGATTCAAAGTATGTGGGCACCTTCTATAATAACTAAAGCAGCATTTTTTTCCCTGGGATTTTGCAGCTGTGGCCAGAAAATTCCAGGAAGATGTCTTTGATTTAAAGAGTTGCAAACAAATACTGTCTATGTGTACTTGTGTGCCCTGAAGCACTTTTTTTCCAAAACACTACAAAGCCCTTGTTAATCCATGAAGTCATTTTTTTTCAGCCTCAACAACTTTAGGATATGTGGACCTCAACTGGCTGTGGAATTCTGGGAGTTCAGGTCTGGACAATTTGACGTTTTTGAGGTTGAGAAAGATTCTTGGCAACTATTCACTCATTCCCTTTCTTTGGCACAAGAGTTTCCAGGCTGTTCCAAACTAGTTTAGACAAACAATTGCTGCTATTATCAAAATATCTTCAAACCACACGTCATGCTGCAATTCTCCAGTTCTGGACTAGTAGAACGGGTAATGTGCAGAATCCTTTCCTCTCTATGGTAAATTATTTCCCTAAAGTTTAAAAAAAAATGGATAAACAAACATTGCATGGCATGGAAATAGAGGTTCCTAAAGCTCTTTTTATTCTGATACACTTAATGTTCCAGATTTAGATATACGCAACTAGAAAAATAGAATCATATTTAGACGTTATGTACCTAGAAAAGTAGAATATTTCTCTGTGCTGTATTCTTCTCAACACGGCCTTTTCGTGTCCTTGAAAATGTCAAGAATGTCTACTGAATGTGATAAGGTACAACAGGAAAGCAGATTCCTGAAAATCGTGTAGAAACCTTACACAAATGGAGCTCCTTTGCTCTGATCCTCTGTACCATTTACTGAGTACCATTTACTGTACCATTTAAAGCTGGAAAGAACTGGGGAAGTTTACTTCTGCCAGCCTAGTTGCATATCCCTAAACGTAATATACATCATCGGAAATTTAGTGGTCTCTTACAGGGTTTAACTTGTTCCAAGCCATGCAGCTCACATTGTTGCCTTTCGTCAAATTGCACCCATAGGACCACAAGGCTTCCATAAATGGTGGTGGTAGTTCTTCTGGTCGTTCACCAAACTCTAACAGCAAGGATGATTTCACTGATGGCTGCTGTCCCTCATCCTCTTCTTCCTCCTCCTTTTCCTCCTCCTTTACTGATACAGTATCAAATTCCGATTCACTGTATTCAGATTTGACATCTGGTTCTAAGAAAACAAGAAAATGCCAATATCATTACATTCCCCAACAGGCATTGCTTATACTCACGCAGGTCAGTGATAATCTGACTGGTATCTAGATACTGATGACTGCCATGATGAAAGGTATGGGGGCACCAAGAGCTCTACTTTTCACTCTCCCGTTGAAATAAAAACAGCCAGGATTATTTTCTACCCAAATGGGCAATGGGATCTGAAGTTATCTCCGTTGAAATTACAAACTAAAAGTGTAGAAACATTCACACGTATCATGACGATCTATTAAGGAAGGTACAGTATGCATCGCCAATACTTGAAAAGTGTTCAGCCCTGCTTAATCTTCCCAGTGTGGGAAAAGCTTTAACAGCAAAGCCAGTTGGATCCAAAGAGTCTTCAGCATTTTTGGACTTGGGAACTCCTTCCTCCAATCTATCACAGGGCCTTATTTCAATGCTGCACTATATTATTGCCTTTTCCTAGATTATAAGGCTTCAGTTTCAAAAGTGAAAGGAACATTGGGCATTTGTTAGCTAATCATAAATCTAAAATGAAATCAGGTCCTGGTAAAAATTAAAATTCTAAATCAATGAAGAATATTTTCTCCTTTAGAGCTCATTATTCATTACCCTCTTCCTCCTCTTTCTCCTCCTCCCTCCCTCCGCTTCCCCCTTCAAAATGACACTGAACTTTCCATAAGTTGGTTATTTCTGAAACAGCCACCTGCCTGCCTTTTGAGATGCCTTAGATTGCAATTCCCAACACTCACAAGACAACTACAGACCCACACATCTAAAGAGAAACCATTAGGGTTTATTCATTTATATACAGTATTTTCTCAACTGTTTGAGCAAAGGCATGATATTTAGGATTTAGGATTTATTTCATTTATACCCCGCCCTTCTCCCGGAGGACTCAGGGCGGCTTACAGCCAGTTAAAACAATTACACAAAATATAAATGCAATAAAGTGTGCCACAGACACTTAAGGGGCAGGGCTTGTTGCCAAGATCCTACTCTTCTATGCAATGTCTGAAATGTTCTCATTTTCTCCTTTAAAAAAAAAAAGAGGTTCCCAACACCCAAAGATTACCTGTCACTGTATCTACCATGTTCATATCTCTTCTGAATTAACAAGATAAACATTTTCATGTTTTGAAAAACAAGGACCTAGCACAGGGGTAGGCAACCTTGGCTCTTTTATGACTTGTGGACTTCAACTCCCAGAATTCCTGAGCCAGCTGGCTGAGGAATTCTGGGAGTTGAAGTCCACAAGTCATAAAAGAGCCAAGGTTGCCTAGCCCTGACCTAGCATTAAGAAAAGCTTTTAATTATTTGTTTATTTCCAGCAGTGCCTCCAAACTGTATATAGGTCCCAGAACCGTTCTTCAAAAAATAAGAATGGTGGTTATCTACAGATCAATAATTTGTTATAAAAGATGCTCAAATAGGAGGAAAAAAATAAATATAATGGAATAAATGGAATGGTAGAAAATCATTCGTTCATTCATTCATTCATTCATATTTTCCTCTTTCTCTCTGAATCTACCAAACCTCAAGGCAGTTTATAATTAGCAACCACATAATTTTAATAGGAACAGAACTATAAAGTAGGGAGGAGGGAGAAAGAATTTTTTCTTTACATGTCCATGAGGAAATATGTTTCTTTGGTTTTGTGTATGCAATTTTGTCTGGATTTTAGCTGTTCTTTTCTTTTTTCTTTTTTTGAAAAAGTTATCAGTATAGTACTATATGTCATTAAGACATGTTTTGGGAAATGTTGCCTCGATATGCTTCTGGGAGGGTTACCAGTTTGCCTTCTGTAAAATGTTTTTCTGGCCTCAGGGGATCATCCTATATCTTCGTTTATACTTATGGTTTTATGGTGAAAGTTACTTTAGTTCCTGTTCTGTGAAATGGATTTGGACCCAAAGTATGAAAATTCACAAATCCTATGTGCACTGACTTTTCCTCTGCCTTTTACTTACATTTCTAAAAAAAATATTTAAGTCTCTTGAGTTTGCCTTCTAGGGAAAATGTTCTTTGTAACCGACCACATTTATCTTGACAGCTATTTGGAGAAAGGTCAAGCATTGAGGAGCCTTGATTTAATTCTTCAACAACAACAAAAAGGAAATAATCAGAATGACACTGATGTCTTTTTCAGGTGTAACCCACTAACTGAAGACCCTTGTCCTAGATTGTAGGTATCATCAAAACATTCTAACAGCTCATTTGTAAAGCCTGCTAACATTTTTTTTTCAGGAAGCAAATTAGGACTTGTATAAATAAAGTTGATTCATAAGCAGTGGGTTTGAGAATTCCTTCCCTACTCTTTCCTCTAAGAATAAGATTACAGTAACATAAACTAACTTAGATATTTTTTATAATAAGATAAACTATTCCTGAACTCAGGCTGATGAGTAAATACCTGATCACTTATATACCTATGAGGATAGGAAGTTGCCGATAAGCTGCAAGTTTAGGCTGGAAAATATTCTCCATTAGGACTCTTTCCATATAAAATAGATCTTGATTAAATTTATCAGATTTAAGTATAATTTCTGAGTGGTCTTCTGTTTCTTCCTGAATTCTGGAGAGAATTACACTTTCAAGATCAATAATGGAACTTGAAGTAAAGCTTTCTGAAAGGAAAAAGGAAAAAAAAACCACAGCAAACGTTATCTGAAGTATTAGAAGAAAGAAATGTTCAGTTTTTCATTTTGTGAACTGACTTAAAATTTTAAGGGCAGAATAAACATCTATTAATAAATAATATATTAAATGTTACAATGTGCTATTTTATTATATATTCTACTTTCTAGAGAAAATTGCTCTTTGACATTTCAGTCTACGTTTCCATCTACAATTTAGATGCATGTATATGTGCGTGTTTCTGTGTGTCTATGAGTGTTTTACATGCACATCTTGAAACCATTTCAATATAGCTAGAATGCTAGGCTACAAACTCTATTCCTTTACTGTTTATATATTGTTAATGTAAAAATCAGTATTAATTTAAAGTGTATTTTTCATAAATGCTGAAACACTATGCACTGGAGAGTAAAATCCATTTTAAAAATGGATTTTCATCTAGATTAACAATTAGGATTTATTTGATCCCATATCAGAAAATTGTAAGAAAAATAAAAAGAGAATTCATTACACTGTGATAACCTAATAGCAATAATACCTCATCATTTTTAAAGATATGATCTAGTTAAAAGGGTAAAACCATCCCTGGTATACTTTTCTACATATAATCATGACATACAGGTATTATGTAAATCTTGATTTGGCTGGGAGAAGATATGGAAATCTAATATAGTGTGTAAAAGTACCTGTTTCCACAGAACCAAGGGACATAGCTTTGTCATGCTCTTTGACTGCAGCTGATTTACCAGCCACTGTAGTTAGTGCTCCACTAATTGTTTCTGCTGTTGCTGCTTCCAAAGCATTAAAAGAATCAAATAAATCCCAAGTAGTGGCCATTATCTCTATGGGGGGAAAAAAGACACAATGAGTTCTGCTTTTGTTCTATATGTAAATACCACGTATTTATGTTACAAGGAAATACCGCTGATATATTTTAGAAAAACAAACTGATTGAACCTCTTTAACTTGTTTAAGAAGCTAAGATAAATATAACTGGATGTCACAAAATTCTCATGTTTTCTTTGTATAGCTGCACATTCCTCCAGAGCAGTGGTTCTCAACCTTTTTAATGCCGCGACCCCAACCCGTCGTAAGTCGAGGACTAAACCGGTCGTAAGTTGAGGACTAAACCGGTCGTAAGTCGAGGACTAAACCGGTCGTAAGTCAAGGACTTTCCCTGCCCGGGAGCGCCACGCATGCGTGGTTCCGCCCCCTGCGCCGGCTGAGGCGTAGCTGGCAAGCGGCAGAGACGGAGCAGGCCGACCACCAGCTGGCCCAGCCCAAGGGAGGTAAGGCACCCGCTGGAAAAGGGGAAAAAATGGCGGACAAAAAAAATGGCGGACAGCCTTGCTTGGCGACCCCCATGAAATGGTCGATCGACCCCAAATGGGGTCCCGACCCACAGGTTGAGAACCACTGCTCCAGAGGATCATAAAGAATATGTTTAGATAAAGTATTTCATGTCAGTTTTCTAAACAACTTCTCCACTTTAATTTTTGTATAATTGCTTCCACTCACCTCACAGGGGCAGCATTCTTGCACAAAGATACTCCATACATTTAAAGTATTTTTTAATAAAGTGAAAGCATCCTTGACTACTGGTGGTTTGGTTCATGGAATTTTACTGGCAACATTTAAAAAATGGTTTGCCATTGCCTTCTACTGGGATTTTTTTCTGCCCTAATTTCCATGGCTACCCAACAACCGTGGCAATTCCTTTAGTTTACCCAGATACGAACTAGTGCTGACTGCTTATTTCTGAGCCAAGGTCCATTTGGTTCTGCTGCCACCTACTGAGGTTTTGCAATACATACACCTATATAAAAAGAAGAAGTCACTTATCTTCTTAGTTGAACCGACTAGAAATTATACGCTCACTTTGATTTGAAACTGAGCTATAGAGAAAGCAAAGGAGAATGTTGCTTAGGAACTGGAAAATTGCGAGCTCCAGTCCTCCCATAGACATGGAAGTCCGCTGTGTGTCTTTGGGTCAGTCACTTTCTCCCAGCACAATCCAGTTCACAGAGTTGTTTTTGTGGAGAAATTTAGAAGACTATTTTGAGTTAATCAAAGTAAAAAATAGAATATAAGTCTTAATAAAAACAACATCAACAATAATGTCCCACACTAAGCAGAAACTGAAGCTAAAAAGATTATTTCAGCAGGACAATAATCAGAAGCATACACCAAGTCAATTATGAACGACAAAGATTTGGGAATAAACTGCACAGTCCTTAGGCTTGAATATTATTGAAAAATATTTCTCGACTAGAAAAAAAGAGAACAAAAGCAAGGAAAGCTGTGTGTGTATGTGTGGGTGGGGGGAATCTCAAAACAGATTCTTAGCTGATTACAGGAAATATTTTCAGGGAAAAGGTTATTTTGTCTTGATATAAAAGAGTGTCCACATTTTTGCACCTACAATATTCACTGTTTTTCTATACTACTTATTTATTATACAGTCTATCTAACATTCAGTTCAAATCATTCTTAGCCATCTACACAGCATTGGATGTATATAAAAATACACATACAAGTAGTCCTCAGGTTACAACTACTTGTTCAGTGACCATTCAAAGTTACAACAGGGGGACTTATGACCTGTCCTCAGAGTTCCAGCTGCCGCACATCCCCACAATCATGTGATCACCATTTGTGACCTTTCTTGTCAGTTTTCCACAAGCAAGGTCAATAGGGAAGTCGGTAGGGAAGGCCGCAAGTCATTCCTGTAAGTCACTCCAATCACTTTTTCTCCCAAGGATCCCCACATGGAGTATGAAATTCCAGGGTCATGTACTCCATAAATCCCCTGCCTGCACTTTGTAGCACCTGCCCACAGCCCCCATTAGTTGACCCACAGCCCCTGCTGGCCTGCTTTGGCTCAGAAGTGCCTGCCTGTGGCATCCCTACCTCTCCCTCACTGACCTGCTTGTTTAGGATTCCAGTCATGTGAGGTCCTCTCCTAAGCATCAGATCTTTGGGATATCACAGCAACCGGGACTACTGGGACTGCTATTGCTAAGTAATGCAGTTACGTAATGATGTTGTTTTATGACGCACATTGCTTAACAACAAAAATTCTGGTACCAATTATCGTTAGCCTGTATTTTCACCCTAATCAACTTGATTCTAATGTCACCATATGATTTTATAGATAGATACATTAAATAACTAAAGGGGCATCAACTCTTACTCCCTGCTCAGTGTGAAATCATTGTGTAAACATTTGATTTATTCTTTCTTTTTACCTCCATATCCCTTAAATTCTATTGAGTAACCAATCTTTAATTCAATATTCAAGTGTTCTATAATTCAAGTCTATCCTCTTTATTATATACTTTAAAAAAATCAATATAAAGAGGAAAATTTTCTCATACATATCTGTAGAATGCTGAACCGTTCAAACACAACTTTAAAAAATGTATACGTGTAGGTGTAAATTTTTATATTGATACTATCGCATAAGAAATCTTTAGAGGTGATATCCATTATTTCTGCCAAAAGAAAAAAAACAAATCACATAAAACCCAAACAATTTTCTTCTTTACATATTTGCATAGGAAGCTCAAAAAAAATATTCTGGTGTTGCTTCCAAAGTTGAAACTGTAGATTGTTCCATACAATGTCAATGATCTATAAAAAAAAATCCCCACTAATTTACCTTTGTCAGCCATTACAATTTTGTCACATTGTACTTCCTTTGCCTTTGGTGCGCCATTCAGTGTTTGCATCATTCTATTGGCATATTGATCATTGCCAATTCTGTTTTTACAGAGTTCCATATAAGCAATATTCCTTTTCCTTTGGAAAACAAAAAGATATGCATTCAAAGTACTTTATGCAAATATTTCAACTTTGATCAGATATCATTTTCCTTTGCAGATATCTTCTTAGAAATAATATGTCCATAAATATTGTACATGGAAATTAGTTCTTAAATGATACTACATCAGATGTGGAATTCTGAAGTTGAAAACCCTTAGCTAGGAGTAAGTACTCTGTTGGATTTGCTTTTAAGCAAATATGGGTAGAATTGCACTGTGAAATGTTTTGGAATTCTTTTGAAGGCGTTCTGAAGGAATTATGATTGGGTATCCTAACATTTAATGACTTTTTCCTTTTGAAGTAGCTGTTGAAATTGTAGAAAGGAGTTGAGAATCGTAATTCAAAACATCTGAAGGGCAATAATTGGGAAATACTGTCCTAAAACAAATTATGAAATAACTTGTAAGCTACCCTAGAATACATATAATAGTAAACTATAGTTTGGTGCTACGCACATTCTTTTTTTCCTGTGAAGTCATGACATGATGGAAACTTTCACTTAATTAACTGTGGCTTACAAAAATAATCCAGCTTCATATAAGACAGTCTTCAAAACTTAAACTCTACATGAACTCTTCTAGTTCTATGACTCTATGTCCATGTAGTCAGCAGGAGTTGAGCTAAACTCAAGGGATATTTGACTTGACTTTTGCAATTTCACCAGGTTCAGATATAAAGCTAAAGTGTAATCAGTTAAACAGGAGATTATCTTTTTCAAGTACCTGTACAAGAGGAAACAAGAAATAGGAATGCACAAGACAAAAGCTGCTTTAGATAATGCTAAACTATAACTCAGTGTAACAGTAAAATAGTTTGTTGCTAGGAAACACAGTTGAAGACAACATGTGGCTCTCAAATCTTGTTCCACAATTCCCACAATACCTCAATACTGATTGTGCTGTCTAGAGCTGTTGAGAATTGTTCTTCCTTGATACCGCAGAAACAAAATATGTTTTGTTATATTTGTAACACAAGCCATCATAGGAACAAATTCTGAAGTTATAAGTCATATTTCATTGCAAAGTTGCTAATGAGAGGCAAGGTTGTGTAATAACCATTACACTGTGCTTACCTGACATCTTCGGCTTCTTCAGATTCTGCAGATATCATAGCAGTTGGCATGTTAAATAACCAAATTGTTTCTGTCTCAGTCAGGAATATATCCACAGTCTTTTCTAACTCGTGCTTTGTCGGCTGTTCTAACATCTCTTCTCTTCTAACCTGGACATCTATCACGAGAGAGAATGAATTCATACTTTGCATTTAGAAAAGAATATATATAGGTCATAGGCGGGTTATTGGGACAATGAACATAAAACATTTTTTTCTTTTATATGAATAGGCTTTTCTTCTAAGGTGTAGAGGTTTCACAGGCATATAGACATGCTAGAGAGGGTGAATACCTAAAAGCAATATACAGTATGCTCCTCTGCTCTTCATGTTGCTTCAGGAACATTTGATAAAAGAAGGCTGTGAAGTAGTAAGTATAATTCTATTAATCAATAAACTGTGGTAAGGGCAAGTAATATTAAAACTAGCCAAGGCATGATATCTAGCACTTTTTAAAGAACAAGTTACCAGGGAGACATACAAATGAAATGCAGTTCAGTAGCACCCATAGCATAGAGCTAGGATCAGAGAATGTGCAGTATTGGCCAGTTTAGGTTAATCACCAAGAGTTACTTGTTATTTACTGCTATTGATACCTTTGATTTTATTAAACATCAAAACATTTTGTACTATATTTTACTATACTATTATTATTACAATCATTGTTAGATATGTCTCCCATCCTTTTTTATATATTGTATAAGTCATATTGTACTGCAAACTGACATGAGTCTGGTACAGATCAGCAACTTATATTTATGGTGCAGAAGAAGAAGAAGGAAAAAATGATTATTCAAATATTTGTTTTTATGTAGATTTTTACCTGCAAAACTAGAAATGGTGTCTCGTCTAAATCCAGGCTCTACAATCTCTTCTGCCATTGATTCAGTAGAAGCAGTTGATTTTGTAACACTGCCACTCCCATAAGTTCTGTAGTTTCAATAGAACATTTTATAAGTAATGGAAATGAAATAGCAAATAGACAGAGAAGGAATATTACATACCAACTAAAACATAGCCACAGAACTATTGATAGCTTAGTAGTTTTCAGCTGCTCTTAACATTATCTACTGGAGGATGAAACATTTACCTCTAATATATTTACACTGATTCTGTTATAGAAAAGGCAAATACATAGGAACTGAGGAGACATCGATTTGAAAATAGCACTATTCTTCACGAAATAGTTCACAAAATATTTCTAGTTAGTTCACATACTTATGATTTCTGATTAAGTTATATTTTCAAAATAGCTAAATGCCTGTCCCAAGGGCAAGAAGAATGATACATAAAAAAGAATACATTAAACTGCATTATAATAGAATCAATTGTTCATATATATATAAACAATTGATTCTTCACTTGATGAAGTCTATGGGTTAAAGTTCAATAAGAATTAACTTAGATAAGCTCCAATTCATGTCTTCTTCCCACCATAATATACATAAGAGAAATTCCATCAGTTTATGTTTATGTTTTCAATCAACTATGCCTTGACACGTACAAACCAGAACTTATAAACTATTTCTCATTTTAATGATTGTATTTTTTTTTTAAAAAAAAGAATGGTCTTATTTCAATTATACCAGAGAAAGCTGGCTTACTTTAAGTAACGTAGTTTAAGAGTTAGCCACTATTTGAGTTTCAGGAATAATTAAATGTGAATCTACAGCAGATGGAGAAACTTTCAGTATCTTGTCAGAGGAGGAAATGATGATACCTTTAGTTTTCTGCATCTGCTTCTCATCATCTTTACTGATAGGCTCAAGCTTTCCAATATTTTAATAAAATTATATTTTTCTGGGGTTTTTTTGCTGATTCAGTTAACATCTCTTATTTGTGAAACTTATAACAAGTAGCAAATCCTTTGTTACAGTATTCAGCAGGGTTGTCCACTTTTACCCTTGCTTTTTGACTTATTTCTTGAACCTTTAGGAAGTCTATAATAACAACAAAGAAACCGTGTAATATTTTTAAATTTAATAACATTTAAACTATAAAATAGAGAGACGGATTAAAATATGTCTATTATGCACAAAACCTTTCATAAGACCAATATTCTAGTTAACCCTATTTAGTACACTATTTGTTATCATAAGTTCTTGAAATACATGTACAATGTAATCTCTTTTAGAGTATGGGTTTTGCCAAAGTGGTTTTATAGGTTGTCATATCATACCTGGAAAATGGACCTGCTAAACTAATACTAGCTACAGAAGTTTGTTGCATTGATAAAGAGGACAAGAAATCAGGTTGAGTCATCCCAGCAAAATCATGTACTGATAAAATTTTGCTTTGTCTGTGTGCGACATTCAATTCTGGACGATAAAGTGGACGAGGTGTCACATCTTTTCCCTGATCATCAAAAACCTGTAGATGTAATAAAATAACAAAAGTACAGTAAAAGAGCTCTATTCTTCCCTCAGCCCGTGTAGAAACCAATAGACTTGCAAGTGTTACCACTAAGGAGATAATATGATGTGGCTTACTTCAAGACTGCAGCTTTGAACTGATATTCTATGCATTTAGATTAGAAGAAAGGAAAACAATGTATATATTAATTGTATACATGCTTCCAGATTTCAAATTATAGCATTCTTTTCACAGGATCACTTTATTATGGATGAACATAAAACTTCTTTTTTTCTGATTTTTAAGAAATAACCAGAGTTTTTGCTCAGGTTTTAAGCAAATATTTTAAGAGGAGAGCTTTTTAAAAACTGGCTTTGATTGATTGGATAGTCTTATTTATTCTAGAATTGTCTCCTTGTAATCCAAATTGTTCTGATGGCATTTTGTAAAACAATTTTCTAAGTCGTCATAAATAAGCAAAGAAATAGTCAGATACATAATTGTATAAGAGCATAACCGTGACTGAAAGAAAATGCCTGAATAATATTTTATTTTAACAATATTTAAAATAATGGTTTTGCCCATTAATTTGATTAAAAAGATTCAGATCTTTTCTTTAAAGAGTGGATGTTTCCTATTAGCTCAGATATGCTGCTTTTCTTTATTAAATCTTTCTGGGTACTTTTAAGAGTATGTTAAAATATTAAGGGACAGATTGCATTAAAGTAGCATGGACAATTCATGGAAACTATATAACATTATGGCTGAAAAATTCATAAAGTACATTAACATTCTTATTCTGTTTTAAGACTTTTAGGTAATTGTTTGATTTATAAAATGAATAATTTTTTCAGCCAATGTGTGAAAAAAGGGAGCCACTGAAAAGCCCCGGATTCTGCATTCCACTTTCTTATTGAAATGAACATTTGCAAACATATGAAGTACATCAAGTTGAAAGATTCTTCCATCTAACTTACTGATAGCTACAGGCCACATATTTTGTTTTTAACCCAGCTATTTCCTATCAATTGTATTAAATCTTTTTAAATGGATATTCCCTGAACCTAGAAACATTTGTATGCAAATCATCTTAATACCAGACTATATATTTGTTTATATAGCATTATCAATGTGCAAGAAACTTTATAAAATACAAGATCAGGAGGACTTACATGTTAACAATATGGAATAGCTGGAGAATAACAGAGGAAGAAAAGGAAAATGGACTTCAGAAGAATAGGGAAGAAAGTTTAACTATTTTACTTCCAAATATCTAGACTGTTTAAAAGGCTTAATGAAAATATGGGTTTTAAAAGGAGTAAGCATGATATAGGTGTTTGAGCAACAGAACAAGCACCAGGAATAATAAACAAACCAAAAAACAGCTGGAATGGGAAGATTAATCATTTGTAATTTCTTTTGGAGTCATGAAACCACTAATGGAAAAACAACCTGTGTCACAAAGAATGGAGATTCATATGTTTGAGATGGGTGACCATATAAATTGAATAAATAAATAAAAGTTAGTACAGGATACTAAGAATGGCATAAATTTTCATATATACTCAAAATAAACAATCAATTGCTCAGTAAAGATGGCAAGACTAACAAACTCACAAAGAAAAGGCAGAAATATCAAGCTTTTTCTTTTGACCGAGTCTTTTCCAACAAGAGACTTGTGTTCTACTAGCCAGTTAGTTACTGTATGAAGAGTAGTTTGAAGGTATAAGCCCTGCATCTTCAGCTTGATATGTGGTCAGGGAACACTTATTCATTCTGAGTATATTCAAAATTTCAGAGCCAAATCCATTAAAAGTATTTTTAAAAAATTGCTGATAGCCTGGCTGGACATCTAGCTATTCTCTATATTACATAAAGAATACACTTATGCAAATTTGTTTTATGTAATACAATGCTAATTATTACATAAATGGAAGAGGACAAATGTCTCTTATGTTTAAACAGGGTGCGAGGAGGATATAGAAAATTGCATAGCAATCAGTTTCTAACTGGGAAGATTCTAAAACAGATTGTAAAGTAATTGTAAGCAGATAATTAAAAGCTGGATGATATTTTTTAGATGACAGACAAAATACAGACCTGGTGGAAGAAGATACAAAATACTTACAGTAGTTCTCAATAGGTCTACAGTGGGTGTTGTGCCACATATAAACTCTCATAACTAAATGGCAGACTTATGTTTATACAGGAATGAACTTTTGATTAAAACTAAAAGTATGTATTAAATCTGTAGCTTAGAAGACAACTAAGCAACAACTATTCGGTTTGATCCGGTATTTTATAGAAGATGTCCCATTGTTTCCAGCTTTAATATTAAAACATATCCAGTTGTATAATCCAAGGCTCCCCTCCCGCGGGGCTTGACAATGAGCAGGAAATAATCTTTTAATTTTTTAGAAATAAATGTAATTCATACATTACATTTATTTCTACAATAGATTTATTTTTTTCCCCAATCATAATTCCATTTTAAAATTGTTGCCCATTGCTTGAATGCTTACTGTTTTTTCAAATGACCTCTGGTTAATGGTTAGAAAATATAGGTCATTTCATGAGACATAAATATACAGACACATTTACTTTTATGCAGCAAAATGTTATTATTATTAGCATTATTGTTTAAAATAAATTATCATTTAATTTGATGGAGTGATACCAAAGGAAAACAACACTCATGTTTCTCACTTATACTGTAGAACTTATTCAAGAAGAATGATCTTAATTTATATGTTATCTGAAATAATAATAACAATAAGTTTCTTTGGAAAAAGAAAGCAAAGGTTATACCAATAATAATAGGCACCTTGGATGCAATCCTAAAACAACTAGTTATCATTTGAACTCCATCAGCATTGATAAATTCATCATTAGCTAATTGCAAAAGGCAGCTTTGCTCAGAACAGCTAACATCCTGCAATGATACCTCTAACACCATTAAACATCAACATCTGCATATCCCAGGTCCTTGGAAGGATTCGGTAGGTGGATAAAAATGCCAAATCCAAATTGAACATCTGGCTGATTTGTGTGATGAATCAATACATTTCTAACATCTTTGCATCTTTAATAGGCTATCTTGGATTTAGTTGTTAGTTAGATCTACATTGATGATTCATGTAGTGCCTGATTACCTGGACAAGAGGTTTGCTTGGTAAAGAACCCTTTTCCATTTTTGGTTCTGAAGTGATCACAACACTCCTGCGAGCCATTGAACCAACTTTGCTGGTTTGCATAGCACTAACGAAGCTCAATTGTCTCCCAGATGCGGAAGATGATGGTAACTTCTTATATATATTTTGTTCTTTTGCGATGTTCCTGGTAATAAATAGAGGAGTATACAAAAGATTAGAAGTTATAAGGTTGATTCAAATTAATTTGCCACTTAAAATTTGACACATTTACTGTAACTTATTTCTCAAAACAATATTATAATTTAAACTTTCTTAACCAAGCCAGGGGTTATTGGACTATAACTGTGAATACTTGGTGACAAATATGAAAATATAGTTCAATACATTTTAAGGACACCAGACTAGTAAAGTATGCTATAGGTCTTTATAGTAAATGGTATTTTATAGTAAAAGATGTATTTCACTAAGTTAAGATATGAGATGCTTTGGTTGACAACTGGATGAATACAAATAGTGTAAGATTATATATGAATGTAGCAACTGGGATTGCTGAACAATCTACAGTTGAACAAAACATGACTTAGAACTATGTGTTAACCCAGATGGTGGAAAGGTTCACACACTCAGGTTTTTCTTCAGTTTATGATCTTCAGTGGACATCCTTGTAGATGAACTGTCTCACCTGTGAAAATTGGATTCTATATGGTGACAGCTATTTTAAACTTTCAAGTTTTTATATTTTAACCTGCATTATTTAAAGTATCATGTTATATGAACTCCATGTTTTGAATGTTTCAAGACTGAGGTGGTTATGGGTGTTTCGATGTGCCCTAATCATTTTATAATATTGACAAATATGGGCAAATGGAAGTTTAGATACTATACCTGTTAATAACATCTCTTATTACTATAGTATAGTGTTTATACAATTGTATAGCATAAGAAAAAAGAAAGTAAGATTATGGTGGACAGTTTGTGTTCCACAGCTTTTCAACATTGTGCATCTGTGCTTTAGTGGATACACATGCTCTTGAATTCAGTTGATGGCTAATTGCTATAATTTAGTAATAACATTATGAAATGAGAAAATAATCTATTTTACAGCTGTTGTGTAAATTAAATAAAAAATTATCCTTTCCTACTTGAGCATATCACAGGGTAAATTACTGAATTCACATAGAGGACTAAGGTACGAAAGGGTGTAATGAATGATTTAGATACTTCTACCTCTATCTCTAAATTAGTGTTTATGTGTACATCCGTCCACACATCCAAATGTTCATTTTACATGAAATCAATGGGGTGATGTCTCCCATTTAGAATGTGTATTTTCCCATTATATTTTCTATCTTTTTTAGTCACCAAAATCAATTAAGGTAGGACGGAATAGATGCTCAATATATGATGGTAGGACCAAGAACCATTCTTCAGCAAGAACTTTTATTGTTTTTGAAAGACTAGATAATTGATAAAAATCACAATATGGAGACAGAGGTCTTATACATTATGGTTTAGTATAAGTATAAGTATAAAGTAAAAAAACCATTAGTCATAAATTCATAAGTACAATGAATATGTTATTAAGAATAAAACTTAAATATTCTTAATTTAGCAATGATACTAAATTATTTCATTTGAGAATATTTCAATTTATATACAGTCGTATCTTAGTACTCAACTGCTTTGAAATAAGGTGACCAACTTTTTTACAATGAAAAGGAGGACACAAATAAATTGAAGAAAAAATATCGTAAATAAAAGAAACATTTTATTCATTGCAACAATAATACAGACAACTTGCATGTGCAAAGTTTCCCAGCCGGGTGTTTTGGCGCGCTCAGCAGCAATTCCTATTGGCTTTCGAAAGCCAATAGTGGGAGTAGCACAGCTCATGCAAAAGTTGAAAAAAAAACCCATCAAAAAAAGGTGTCGGAATGCCATTCTGAGCGATCCATGAGGGGGAAAAAAGCCCTGCAGATTAGTCTTCAAATGTTGAAAAGGAGGACATGAAGGAGGACACTTTATGAGGGAGGACAACTTACAAAAGGAGGACTGTCCTCCCTAAAGGAGGATGGTTGATCACCTTATTTGAAACTCATTGAATTTGGTACTCAATGTGCATTTTGGCCTGAAACTTCTAGTTCTGGTACTCATTATTTGCTTGGTATTCAACACACAAGATAGAACTTGTGGGTGTCAGCTGCCTTGTAACTCACTATATTATTATTCCTGTTTGGTACTCATTGTTTTTGGTACTCATCACACCTCCCAGAACCAATTAACAATGAGTACCATGGTACCACTATATTTATCATTTAGCCAGCTACATTTTTATTTACTTTAGAATGAAAACTTTTAGAACCACATGAGAAATGGAATCAATTCAAACAAACAAATTAGAATCAGAGCAATCTCCTACATTCCAGTTTTTAATTGAGGGGATTTTTACCAAATGCTTGAAGAAGACAAACTTCAGAAGGAGAAGTCTGTTTCTATAGAGTCCATGCCTTCTCCCCACCCTCATGTCCCACAGCTGAAGTCTCTTGCCTTAATACAGGCAACTTTAGTATAAGGAATATTGCATCTTCAGATTTCAGGAAGAAATACATTTATCTTATAGTCCCACACACCTTTCCTCATTGACTGCTATAGATTGCAATGCTTATAAGCCATGACTGCTTGTCCAAACTGATTTGATGTATCTAAAACAGTAGCACAGCACATTAGGAAAAACTGTATTAGCTTGTCACAAAATGACCGGATATAGCTTCCTCTCCATTGAGCCTAGTACAAAACCACCCCTTTGCTACACTAACATTATGCTACTTACGTATGAATAGTGATGCTGTGCTTCTTGCTCTTGCCACCCTGGTTATTACTAGTTTCTGACATGATCAAGGTGTTTAAAGTAAAGAAAAATGTATTCTGAATATACTATCTGTCTCCCGACACAATGGTGGAGAGAACACTGAAGCTGTCAAATAAGCAGCAGCTCTTATTGCCAGTATGCCAGCACTCTGAGAAATAAGATCCAGCAAATGTCTAGGTTACTAGATTGCTGCTTTAAAATCCAAATTAGGTACAAAGCCTGACTCCCTCAAACCTACTGTTGAAATAGGAAACTGTTTATGTGGTAACCATGACAGCCACCTTTTCCGCATGTAGCTATATGATTGGCTGACAATAAGAGAAAGCCTGGATGAAAACAGAGATTGGATAGCCTTTATTTGCATTTCTTACCCTCTTGGTTATTGCAGGAACTTAGAATCTACTCTGGAAATGTTATGACTATTGTTAGTTTCAGATTTGAAAGTTCTGTCTGCCTTTCATTCCATCTAAATAAAAGGGAAAATTATGCAGCTAAACCTCTTTGTAAATTTGATTTACTCTCATCCACCAATGCTGCATTTTGAACTTAACCTGCACTATATTACTAACACATAAAATAGATAATTTTCCTCAGGAACTCATTAAGAAGTGTAGCTCACAGCAACTTTGGGCTTAATCTGAAATCTCATGTAATATATTAAGAAGCGATAAATTTGATATAAATGTTGCATGGGGCTCTTTTTGCAAGTAATTTTTTCTGTCATTATTCTATCTATAAGTTTTGATTGATCTATATACTGTTTTATATATTTCGCTTTTATCAATTGTTAAACAATGGTCAAAAATTGGGGCTACCTTAAAGAATATGCAGAAGCTTCAGCTGGTGCAAAATGCAACAGCTCAGGCAATTCTGGGTACTGGTTTTTCAGGACGTACGATGCCTCTGTTCCATGGCTGTATTAGCTGTCTTTGCGAAGCTGGGGTGGGCGTGGCCTGCGAGTAACGCATCCTGCCCGCGGGCCACCACTTTGACACCCCTGATCTAGAGTCATGTATACAAGATGGGAGGGCCATATAAATTTATTAGTAAATTAATTCTAATTGCACTATGACTTTGTTCTATATGGGAAAGGTAGGATATGCTTTACACATGTTCACTCTCAATCTGAGCCCATGTTATGCTGTATATATTGATCCATGACAAAAAAGAGCTGTTCTTTATTTTTTTTTCTTGCTGCTTGGCTTTTTGTAACAACGTAAAAATAGTAAAGTTTATGCCATCAAGAAAGTATCCAAAATGATTAAAGAGAAAATTAAATTTAGAACTTCTATATTTAAAAATGTTTCTTGGAGAATAATACTTTTTCATTTACATCAGTAAGATTCATTTTTATATTACATTGCATTGTTCTACACCTAGAGGACTATATATAATAATATCAAATTTATATTCTAATGGTTACTTTCTAGTTACATAAACATGATATATTTCTTAAATGCATTTGAGGCAAATTGTTTATAAGCGCATAAATAAAAAATCCAAAGAAACAAGTTTTATATAACAAACAGAAATCATATCCCAAAATAAGCTTATTTTGATTATTTCTTGTCATATCTGTATCTCTCTCTCTCTCTGTGTGTGTATATATATATAATATATGTAATAGATTTTGCACTACTGGTTTTATTTATTTGATTTTTTAAAAATACCATCTTTATTACTTTATAAGCAACTCAAGGTCACAAACATACCTAATACTCCTATCTCCTCTTCCAATTTTTCCCACAACAACCCCATGCGGCTTAGAGTAATTGGCTCAAAGTTATCCAGCTGGTTTTTCATGCCTAAGGCAGGACTACAACTCAAACTCTCCTAGTTTCTCGGTCAACATCTTAAACACTACTCCAAGTTGGTTGGTAAATGAGTCTAGTTTCTGAAAATTGTTGTTTCTTTTTGTTTGTTACGTTTTCTGAAGATGCAACCATTTTTGCCTTTCGAAACTAATATTGGATGTTATATCCATAATATTCCCATGTCTTTTATGTTTATTAGTTTTTAACAGAGGCTATGATACCTAAAGCAATTTCAATGGCAGTTAAGCTATAGATTTTCATTTATATTACTGTATCAAAAATTCAGAATAGCTAAGCAAATGCAATTCTTTACTTTCTGCAAATAATTTGCAGTCCGGTTCAATGTATCTTCCAATGGGGATGGAAGCCATATTATGCTACTATCGTAAAAGAGCAATTTATGAATGCACCTATGATACTTAAATTATTTATACAAGTTTTGCCTTCTGCTG